ACATAAAGAAAATGCTTTCCATTTACGTTTTATGTCTTTAGGCTTCTCACAAAGCCCTAAGCCCTTAATCACTTAGATTTTGACTTAGATTAATTATTACAGTAGTCCACATTAACCAATCATGGGTCCACAAACCTAAAATATCATTCTGTATGAACAGTATCATTACTGTCTCAAAATTCCCATAATATGCATATTCGGATATCACAAGACCCAATATCCGGATATCCATATCCGGATACCATATCCGGATATTTCGCGACAGAATGCAGTTCTGCATTTCACGAGATATCCTTCCCAAAAGTTGCTCTTTTAACAATTCTAGAAGCTTAAACATGCATTTCTAGGTGTGTTTAACCTTACCTAACCTTAAGTTATGAACTTTGGCTTATTACGTGTATCAAGGCTTCATTTTTAACTAAGGAAACTCATGATCAAGGTTGGTGAAGCTTACCCAAGGTCCAAAACAGAAACAAGGTGGCTCTTGGAGCTCTCACTTCAGCCTCTAAGGTCTGCTACAAAAGGGAGCACGAAAATGACAAGCAAGCAAGATCCTTTCTCACCAAAGATAGCTTCTTGAACCTTCTTCACAACAGATAATGGCTCATACTCCACCAACAAGGAAGTCATCCCTCTCAACACCACAACTCAGAAGCTCACACAATATTATGGAGCACCCAACACCCTCACAAGACCAACTCTCACTCAACAAAGGTGCTTTGGTGAAGGTTTCATGGAGAAATGTGGCTCCTTGGTTCAAAATAAAGAAGAGAAGGAAATGGAACAGTGGAGGCTAATCAGCTGCAAGGGTTCTCACGTAGAAGGCACAATGAAAGACCTAGGATCATGTGCCAAGGCCTTATATAGGCCACTTAAGTTTTAATCGCACTGTATTAGAGCTAATAGGTACGCTTAACATTTTAATCTCAAATTTTAGAATTTGAACCTACTCATTTTTCTAAGATTTTTCATATTTTTATTTTATTTTTCGCAGCACCTTTCCAGTATGCGCTTTTACTTAGCCAGTATCAGTTCTGACACGAGTTCTCATTATTTTGACCTGAAACTTGTTATGCCAGTCCTATATATTTTTCTAGTGACATATACATATTTTTCATAATTTTCTGAGATTCTTCATCGGTACGCATTTATACCGTGAGGCAGATCCGGTATCTGCACTTTTCGTCAGAAAAACGACTTTCAGCATTCTTAATCACTTATCATAATTATTTAAGCTTTCTCATAATTATTAGGGTCAATTATGGAATTATCTCATTAATCTCATAATTAATTAATTAAATTTCTAAATTAACGGTGCGGGTTCTTACAATGTGCCCCAAACGTGGGGTGGGATCTCTAAACAGAAATCTTAGTAAGACAAGGGGTCCTCAAGGATTTCTCTGTTTGGCAAGTGGCTTCTTACACAGGATGCTTACGGAACACCCAGAGGGGGGTGCATAGGTGTTCTAAACTTTTCCAAAAACTTTTTAAATTCAGTAAACATTTACGCAACTTTTCTTCAGTCCCTATATGCCCAAAATAATTTTTCACAATGCTAAGAACAATGTAGTAACAGAACGCGTACCTTAGCAATTTATAGAGTATAAACGCAGCAATTTAATTTTCTTAAACAAAACAGAAAAATATTAATTTCCAAATACCAGGAAAAAAACACTTCAAGTGCTACAACAATTATATCATAACCTATAAGGTGCTACAGCACTTTCAAATCAGAATCAGTGTAACTGACAGTCACTAAACAAAATATTCAGAAATTAAATCAGAGAGACAAGGGAAGCACGATATATCCTGGTTCACACCCACTAAGCCTAAGTAGGGTGCTTCTAGACTGAAGTCGCTGCAGATATTTTATTTATCACAAGTGTACCTGTTTTACAAACACGCGTCACACATGCAATCAAACAAGATATAAAAAATCTTCCTAGTGCCTACACTGCTCCAAGCTCTGAGAATACTCTCAAGCCGAACCTACTGAGTTCACCAACTCCTCTCACACATGACCTTCACTTTCCCTAGTGATTCTTGAGGCTCCAGGCCTTGAGACACACTCTCAAGCCAAGGACAAGGTCGCCAACCCACACGGTTGCACCCACACACCTAGGACAGATTTACAGCACACAACTATTCCATTTTAACAGCCAATACAGAATTTTGCAGAACTGTAACAAGTGAAATAATCCAAAGATACAGTGTCCTATCATACCAAATATTTCATAGTAATATCAAACTAAGCTCCATATATTTCTGCCATATGCAGAAAATTAAACCAATGACATATGTATCAAAATCTCAAAAATTAATGCACTAAGGAGCTTGGATATTACACAATTAATTTTCTAAACAATAGACACCAAGAAATCTGATTTAAAAGAAAATATCACAATTTGAATAGAAAAATCAGATTCCAATTTTAAAAAAAAAATCTCTAAATCAATGAACAACTCAAAAGATTTAATATTCAGATTATACCACTCAAAATCCTTAAAGCATATGAATAATAGATCTGGAAATTTCAGATTAAATGCTTCAAATCAAAAATTCATAAAAGATTTGAGTTTCTTGAGTATACCGTAAAAAGCCCCATATATTTCAGTTCAAGAACCTGGAAATTTTCACTGAGAAGAGATGTACCAAAAGCCCCAAAATTTGATTCAGTTGGCTCCCGCAAGAAAGGACTGAAAAGGAACACTAAGAAAGAAAATTTGATCCAGTACGTTCTCGAATAACCAAGAAGGAGGCCTGATTTTCAGAATCAGCGTTTCAACCGATTACCATTTGCAAAGACATGAGTGTTTCAACCGATTTCAATTTGAGAAGATACAGTGTGCGCTTCAAGATTTCAGAGAGAGATAGTACGAGAACTTTTTCTTTTTGATTTGTAAAAATTAAATCTAACTTATTTGTTTTTGGTTTTCTTTTTATATTGCATTTTGATTTGAAAGCCACGTGAATACATATGATATCAATTTTCTTTACCTGATAGCTTTCCTTTTCTTTTTTTTAATATTTATTATTATTATATTATTATTTTTAAAGCAACTTTTACATCCACGTGAATGCAAATTGCTTTACCTGATTACTGATTTGCTTTCCTTATTAGTTTTTGAAAAGGTAACGTACTTTTTTTATTTTAGTTATATTGAATATCTAATTGATTTATTTTTTAATTCTAACCAAACCTATAATACTTATTTAATTGTTTTAAATTTTAAATCTTAACCATAACAAACGAAACTAATCAATATTATTTAATATGAAATTAAATGCATGAAATGTAATGTTATAAATTGGAGCTTAGGAAGATACTATATGATATAATATTGTGTGTAACAAAATATCTAAAAATACCTAACGACTTGTATCTTCAAACTCCCTCTTCAATTTGAGACTTTTTGTAAACCCTTTGTCATCATCAAAATATATACTCCATAATGCTTAGGAGGTCTTCAATCTCCCCCTTTTTGATAATGGCAATTTAAACTCAAATTCAAACAAGTAAGGGTTAGTAGCATAAGATATTAAAATCATGTAATCACATACTCCCCCTAAACATATGCATACTAAGAATTATTATGGTAATTAAAAGTAAGGCATACATATGTTCTCAAAACTTCTCAAAAACTCCCACTTACAATATGCATAAGCTCATAAGCTCAATTTGATGATATTTATATTTTCTCCCCCTTTGACATCATCAAAATCAATTATAGCATATAATAAGGATCAATATTGGATAAAGCATATAACAAGCATTTCATATATTAAAAGATTACCCATGTCTTGTACCAAGTTTTGATTCTTTGTAACTCTTTGGCTTAGTCTAAGAGGTTCTTCAATTTGCCAATATCTTCAATTGAATCTTCATCTTTTCATTCATTTCCATTTTCTTTCAAATACCTACAACATAATCTTCCACACTTGCCTTTCTAGGCACATTAGCAAGATCAAGCATTTATCATATAAAACATGTAATCTAATTTACACAACAATTTTATATTTCACCAAAATTGCTAATTGACATTGTATAAAGGAGGATGTTGCAAAAGAACTTGTTGTCATATTTGGATTATTCAACTTTATAGGCATGTAGTGCATGAAGTGAACTTTCTATCCACATATAGAACATTTATAACATAAGATGTGTTAAAAACAGTCTATGCATGTCATATTAAACACCAAACAACAACTAGACATTATGTGCAAAATGATTTATCAAATACAACAGTCCATGGCACATGATGCATACATGCTCACTAAGTTTTCTAAGGAACATATATCATGTTCTTAACCTTAGGGCTAAAGAACATGCTAGATGTGTTAGGTTGAGGTCCATAAGATGTTGAAGCAATGTTGCTCACATTTATAATCCTCTTAGGAACCCACTTAAGATTAGTTCCTTTTAGGACATATTTCTTAATATTGCATTGATATACAAGATGACCACTCATGCAACAATATGTACATTTCTTAAATGGTATTTTAGACATGAACCTAGGAGGATATTGGTTTGTCTTTCTTGGTTGAGCAAAGGGAGGTTTTTGAAAACCAAGTCCATGTTTAGTAGTCTCAACCCTTTGTCTACCAAGGAGGACATTCAAGTTATCTCTCCCACTAGTCATTCTATCAACCATTATTTTCAACCTATCCACTTCATTAGATAATTCAACACATTTAGTACATGAAATAGTGGAAGGGGGTTTCACATCATCATATGATCCAATAAGAAAATTCATGAAAAGATTTTCATTTTTAAGATCTTCATTGTCTTTCATTAAATCATTTACAATGGTTGTCAAACTATCAACTTTGTCTTGCAAGCAATTTTTCTCATTTTTAATTTTCTTAACCTTAGAGGTTAATTTTTCATTTTCAACTTGCAAACATTTATAAGCATACAACAAATCATCATATGATGGACCAACCATATAAGAGGTATCACAAGAGGAGATAGAACTACATATTGAATTAGAATCACATACCTAATCGGAATCCCACACAGAACTAGAAGAGTGGCTAGAATGTACCTCAATTTGATCTTTTTCAATTTGTGTCATGAAGCAAATGTTAGCTTGTTCACTTGATGAAGAGCTTGTAGTACTTGAAGTGTCATCTGAAAATGCCATGTAAGCTCTCTTCTTTTTGCTCTTACCTTTCTTGAACTTTCCATTGTCATATTTATTCTTTTTGTTCGGGCAATCCTTTTGGAAGTGACCTTCCTTTCCACACTCAAAACAAGCATTTTTTGAGTTGCTTTCTTTTCTACTTGGGTTGTCGGTCCTTCTTCTCCTTTTGTTGAACTTCTTGTTGAAGAACTTGGTGAACGACATGTTAAACTTTTTCACGAACATTGTCATTTCATCGTCTTCACCGGTGCTTGATTCACTTGAAGAAGTATCGGTAATTTTCTTACTTTGCTTGGATTTGGAAGAAGAAACTTTTAGAGTTATACTCTTTGAAATTTTCTTGTTAAACTCACGGTTAACCCTTCTGTTTAACTCCAACTCGTAATCCTAAAGCTCTCCAAATAAAGTAGCAATGGACAATGTGGAGAGATCTTTAGCTTCGTAGATTGCTGAAGCTTTTGCATCCCGTTCCTTAGTAAGACATCTCAAAAAAAAATTAACTACCAGTTCATCATCATGAAAAATATTTAAAGCATTCAGTGATGTAACTATATGCATGAAACACTTTTGCATGTCAAATATAGACTCGCGCTCATACATCTCAAAGATCTCAAACTCTCTAGATAACACATTTTGTCTAGAACGTTTTACTTCAGTAGTACCTTCATGGGTTGTTTCTAAGATAAGCCACATCTCACGTGCGGTCTTACATGAAGATACTCGGTAGTATTCATCCTTACCAAGTGCATTAACTATTAAGTTCTTTGCTTTTGAGTTGTATTGGGAACTCTCTAATTCTGCTCTAGTAAACTCTGTATATTTTTTAAGCACACTTTTACCATTGTCATCTAATCTAGTTGGAGGCTGATATCCTTCCTCTACACTACCAAATTTTAAGATCTACCGACTCAAGGAAAATCTGCATCCTTGTTTTCCAGTATGGATAATCAATCCCAATGAAAAACGGAGGGCGATAGGTGGAACCACCCTCAAGAGGAATATCCTGATGGAAAGAAGCCATAGGATCTTTAACTCTTTCGCAGTGACCAATCACTCAGATCACGAAGCTCTGATACCACTTATTGGGCAAGTGGCTTCTTACATAGGACGCTTACGGAACACCTAGAGGGGGTGCATAGGTGTTCTAAACTTTTCCAAAAACTTTTTAAATTCAGTAAACATTTACACAATTTTTCTTCAGTCCCTATATGCCCAAAATAATTTTTCACAATGCTAAGAACAATGTAGTAAGAGAATGCGTACCTTAGCAATTTATAGAGTATAAACGCAGCAATGTAATTTTCTTAAACAAAATAGAAAAATATTAATTTCCAAATACCAGGAAAAAAAAATTGTTCAAGTGCTACAACAATTATATCGTAACCTATAAGGTGCTACAACGCTTTCAAATCAGAATCAGTGTAACTGTCAGTCTCTAAACAAAATATTCAGAAATTAAATCAGAGAGACAAGGAACACACGATATATCCTGGTTCACACCCACTAAGTTTAAGTAGGGTGCTACGTCCAGACTGAAGTCGCTGCAGATATTTTATTTATCACAAGTGTACCTGTTTTACAAACACGCGTCACACATGCAATCAAACAAGATATCAAAAATCTTCCTAGTGCGTACACTGCTCCAAGCTCTGAGAATACTCTTAAGCCGAACCTACTGAGTTCACCAACTCCTCTCACACATGACCTTCACTTTCCCTAGTGATTCTTGAGGCTCCAGGCCTTGAGACACACTCTCAAGCCAAGGACAAGGTCGCCAACCCACACGGTTGCACCCACACACCTAGGACAGATTTACAGCACACAACTATTCCATTTTAACAACCAATACAGAATTTTTCAGAACTGTAACAAGTGAAATAATCCAAAAATACAGTGTCCTATCATACCAAATATTTCATAGTAATATCAAACTAAGCTCCATATATTTATGCCATATGCAGAAAATTAAACCAATGACATATGTATCAAAATCTCTAAAAGTAATGCACCAAGGAGCTTGGATATTACACAATTAATTTTCTAAACAATGGGCACCAAGAAATCTGATTTAAAAGAAAATATAACAATTTGAATAGAAAAATCAGATTCCAATTTTAACAAAAAATCTCTAAATCAATGAACAACTCAAGAGATTTAATATTCAGATTATACCACTCAAAATCCTTAAAGCATATGAATAATAGATCTGGAAATTTCAGATTAAATGCTTCAAATCAAAGATTCATAAAAATTTTGAGTTTCTTGAGTATACCGTAAAAAGCCCCATATATTTCAGTTAAAGAACCTGGAAATTTTCACTGAGAAGAGATGTACCAAAAGCCCCAAAATTTGATTCAGTTGGCTCCCGCAAGAAAGAACTGAAAAGGAACACTAAGAAAGAACATTTGATCCAGTACGTTCTCGAATAACCAAGAAGGAGGCGTGATTTTCAGAATCAGCGTTTCAACCGATTACCATTTGCAAAGACATGAGTGTTTCAACCGATTTCAATTTGAGAAGATACAGTGTGCGCTTCAAGATTTCAGAGAGAGATAGTACGAGAACTTTTACTTTATCATTCACTTTTTCTTTTTGATTTGTAAAAAGTAAAACTTACTTATTTGTTTTTGGTGTTCTTTTTATATTGCATTTTGATTTGAAAGCTGTAACACCCCGTGTATACCGGTAATGTTATCATACTATCGTATTAAGCTGCGCTTAATTAAATATGGGGAAAATCTTTTTCTTATCACTTATGACGTCATTATACTTAGCCAAGTTGATTACTTAATCAATTTCATAAAATATCGCCTGTATGTAAATTGCAATAAGACATCTACTGAAATACCTCAATATATAAATATAAAGTGAGTATCTAAGTCACGGCATTATATCATGTAATCCGGACAATAATCCTGATACATTATTACAACTCCAAGTAAAACAAGACATAACAAGTCTACGTGGCATGGACAATCCCCATGCTCACCAAATCAACAGCATAAACGACATAGTCTCAACAAGATAATCCAAAATCATAAAATGAAGCTAAAAGCATAAAAACAGCAAGCATATCCAGCATCCAACATATCAGCATATAATATCATCAATATCTAACTCAGCTCTGGCCTCTTGCCGCCTGGGGCCTCAACCCCCACATTACCTGATCCTGAAATAAGCATTCCCCAAACGTGGGGTGAGATCTCTAAACTATAAATCTCAGTAAGACAAGGGGTCCTCAAGGATCTTCAACCCCATGCTCACTTACATGTGCAATATAAGTTCTAAAAGCATTTATATCAATATAAGTTCCAAAACTATGCAGTGCAACAGATATTCATGCCATGTGTGTTTAAACTATTCTACTGGCCAGAGAAATGCAGGAATACGTCTATTACCTACATGTAGTACAAGGGACACCGCTTGCACCTCACCCACAGCCTCACCATATTGTATGTACTACATACTCAGGCTTACCGTATAGGTGGAACACCACATGCATATCATAAAGGCACTAGCTTATAACAGCTCAATAGCATTTCCAAAACATCAAAAGCATGTAACACAACATGCATATAACCATACCCCCATGGGACATGGTGGAACCACAACATGGCTAAACTGAGGACACGAAAGCTTACCTTGCAAGCTCACTATCCAATGCCAAGAGTCCACACAGCTCAAGTCCAACATACAGCAGATCACAATCTGATTAGGACCAGCAAGCATATCAACAAAAGTATAAACTTAAAGACTACGTTTTCCTCTTACGATTTATGTCTTAAGGCTTCACACAAAGCCATAAGCCCCTAACCACTTGATTCTGACTTAGTTCAGTTAAAACAGAAGTTCAACTTCATCAATCTAGGGTCCACAAACCCCCAATAGCCTACTGTACACGCAACACAGCTACTATTCTTCGAAATCCCAGAATATCCGAATATTCGTCGGGGGCATATCCGGATATCAATATCCGGATATCTCTCTTCCAATATCCAGATATCCATATCCGGATATTAAGATCCTCATATCCGGATATCAATATCCTGATATTATTCACAACAAAATATCTGTATATTTCGCGACAGAACCCAGATTCTGCATTTCGCGAATATACAAACCAAAGGTCCAACTTTTACCGATTACAGAAGCTTAAACATGCATTTCTAAGTGTGTTAAGCATTACCCAATGTTAGGTTATCATCTTTAGTCCATTACATGCATCAAGGTTCCATTTTTAACCAATTAGACTCATGATCAAAGGTGATGAAGCTTACCCAAGCTTAAACTCAGAAAAAGGAAGGGAAATAGAGCTTCCTACACCACTCCACTGAGTAGCAACCAAGAGTCACGAAAATGTACAACAAGATCACTCTTTTCTTCATCAAGGTGACACTTTGAAGCTCCAAATGTCAAGACCAAGGCTTTCACCACTCAACCTCCAAACTCGGCCCTCAAAACTGACTCATACAGTGGTAAGGACTCAGATAATGCACCCTCACACCCTCACAAGGATAACTCTCAAGTGTATACAAGCTCAAAGATGAAGAACCCAAGCAAAGGTGACAACTTGAGCTCAAAAATGGTGAAATGAGGCAATGGAACAGTGTTATAGGAACTGGTCAGAAACCCTTCACGTAAGAAAATGCTGAGTGTCTAGGGTTTTATGCCAAGTGTGCCTATTTATATCGGTTTAACACTAAAACACACAGTATTAACTTTAGATGCTACGCTTAGCATTTTAAACCCAAACTTTGAATTCTTAACCTACTCAATTTTACAAGAATTATTGTATTTTTATTATATTTTTCGGAGCACCTTTCCAGTACGCGTTTTTCATAGCCAATATCAGTTTCTGGCACCAGTTCTCATTATTTTAACTTGAAACTTGTTTTACAAGTCCTATATATTATTCTATGAATTATCATGCACTTATTATAATTTTCCGGGATACTTTTCGGTACGCATTTATACAGACTAGCAGAACCGGTATCTGCACTTTTCTTCCGAAAAGCGACTTTCAGCATTCTTAATCACTTATCATACTTAATTAAGCCTCATAATAATTATTAGGGTCAATTATGGAATTATTTCCTAATTTTGCATAATTAATCAGTTAAATTCCTTATTTAACGGTGCAGGTTCTTACATTCACCCCACCTTTTTAGGATTTTGTCCTCAAAATCAGAAAACATACTTGTCTCGAAACTCGGGGTACTGCTGGAGAAGCTCGTCCTCACGCTCCCAAGTACACTCCTCAAGAGTTCTTCCGGTCCATTACACTTTGACCATCGAAATGATCTTGCTCCTCAGCTGCTTCTCGCCACGATCGAGAATCTTGAGTGGTCCGACGGCAGTCTTTTCGTTCTCCCGAACCTCCACATCATCAGGTTGCACCACGTGCAATGGATCTGCTATGTACTTCCGAAGCTGAGACACGTGAAACACGTCGTGGATGTTGGCCAAGTTCGGAGACAAGGGAAGCCGGTAGGCAACAGGTCCTACTCTACCAATGATCTGGTATGGCCCAATATATCGCAGGCTCAACTTCCTCACTCCGAGTGCCCGACCAACACCGGTGACAGGTGAAAGTCTCACAAACACCTGCTCACCCTCACTGAACTCCAGTGGACGATGCTTGACATCATAGTAGCTCTTCTGGTGATTCTGCGCCTGCTTCAACTTTTCACGGATCAACTGGATCTGCTGGGTGGTATCTTGGACAAAGTCCAAGCCAAAAATCTCCTTGTCCCCAACCTCAGACCAACAAGTAGGAGTCTGACACCTCCTACCATACGTGCTTCGTAGGGCG